AATGTGTGAGGTTGCAGTTCACCATGGAAACTGGTAACTCTCCAAGCAGTGGATAAAAGCCGTTAACGGTCAATTGCAGTTCTATTGCTGAAAATCTCTCCCCGACGTACTCCGCGTGAAACGAGTGAAAGGATCTGCATAAGAACAAAACGTACCTCTTCAAAAGGAGCATAGTCGATTTATCCCAAGAACTACACCAAAAGACCTTATTCAGAAAAATGAAAAAAAAAAGGTTTACGCCTTAAGGCGCATTTTCTATAAATTGAGCAGTACTTCCGGGAAAGTGATATAATGAACTATTTATTTACACTTTGCGCATGCGCACACATGGGTGTGCGGACAAATCGCGCGCGGATAATTCGGGGAAATACTCTCAAACAAAATTGGAGCTGGCGGCTCTTCTTTTAAGTTAATGCTGGAAAATCGCGGAACTAAAATGAACGGTTATTGACTTTTCTTGATTTTTTGAGCAAATTTAATTAATTTACTTGATCAATTATTTCATAAACCAATCTCAACATCATGCATTACTTCATCATTGAATAAAAAATTTTATTCAATGACTTCGCTGAGGCAAAATTATGTTCTGTTTATCTCAGGGGAAGAGCGGGAGAGGATGGAGCGCTCTAAATTCAAGAGTTTTATACGATTTTTTCGATTTTTGATTTTACGTTAATTCCATTCTTATTATTATTATTACAACCGCACTCATGATGTTCAAAATATGCGATACGTTGGTCTTTACTAAAAGAATCTGTGGTTAAAACATGAAAGAAAGATCTCCATAAATAAGAAAGTTTACATTGCGCAGAATGCGCATGCGCACATTAATCGTCAAGATTTTTCTTGGTTGAGGTGCCGGAGCTATTCGCTACCGAATGCAAAGAGAGCAAACTAAATATCTGAAAACTGTAGGAGTACTTAAGACCTCGGACGAACGGAAAAAATGGTCATAACAGCGCCTTCCAAAGGCACATAGGTATTTATTTGCCAGATCATCAACATCATCTTATGTGCAAATAATTTAATGCTCGAACGGTATGATTTTTCGTGTCGTGTAAGGACTCTTCCTTGAATCCGTACAGGTGTCGATTCTTCATGCAAAGTGTTTTTCCCTCGGTTTTTCCTTTTCTCCTTCTTCTGGTTAATTAAATTGGGTGTTAGTAGTTCTTCTTAGGTAATTATATTAATATGCCTCGGCTACTCGTCGGTTAATAACCTGGCCTCAAACATAAGGGGTAAAAGATTAATAATAGTCACTACTCTTTATTAACTGTGAATTAGTTCTTGTTTTTCTATCGCCTTTACTGTAAGAGAACACATTTTAATAAATGGTAGGAAATATTCAAACTGTATTTATAATCGTGTGCGAAACTAAATTAATATCAAATGAGTCACCGTTAGGTGCTAAAAGAAAATTATTTATATTTTTACAAATACTAGGTGCCTACAATAACAATAAAACGAACTGCAATACGTCAATAGTTTAAGAATGTCTAGGCATGAGTCGAAAATGTTACGAACAATTATTATTGGTGTCCGAAAAACACTCTCTTAATGCAACTACAACGGAACAAACTACGGTACAAAGCCATGCGCTTTTGTGGATGCTTCAATGTGGATGGTCTGGATCTGGCCCCAGAACTCAGATACAGTTGGACGTATTCAGACCTACCGAAATTTAAGCGTGGCTTGTTGTTGATTCGATGTGGTAATGGAATTGACTTCCCAGGTGGGTTTTGCATGGACCGGTCACGAAACAAACGCGCTGTAGTGGAAATTCTTGAGTACCTCGTTCTCAAAGTGCTGCTGGATCTTTCGTCCGAGCGGTGCGACAGCTTTTATGGAGATGATACTTGGTTCTCTGTATAAGTTTCGTTCTTCTAAGTATCGCAACTCATATTTCGACCAATTCCACGAAATCCCAGTCGCAATCTTGTCGGTGAATATGAACCTACCCACTTGACAAGCAATGTTAAAAAAACGTTTGGTACGTTAAACGAATGTTGCATTTTGAAACAACTCAAGTAAACAAAACATCAACGTTATACCAACGATACTTGAATGGCTATTCTTTCTAAACCGTGGATACTACGTTTTTGTAATGTTAAAAATTGTAACCTTTTGGACTTGCATCGCTGGAACGGGACATTATTACGTTAAAATAACATTCAGAAGGCTAACGTTATACCAATATTACTTTGACAACGTTTTTATGCAAAACCTTGTTGCGATGTCATTATAATGTTAAGTAATGTGATGTTATTAGCGTATGTTGACGGAACCATACATAACTACGTTAGTTCAACTTTTAAAAGCTTAACATTACAACAACGACATTTTGGTACTGTTAAGTTGCACAGTTACAGTAACGTTCTTGTAATATTAAAAATGTGCCTTTGGGCATTGCGCAACGAAAAAAATAGCTGGTCGGTGACTCATCACTCGGTTTATCTTCATTTGCAGTTTAACATGCTTGTTGAATGTTGGTTTTCTGTGAATTGAGTGATGTGATTCAAAATAAGTGGAGGATAGTTTGAATTAAGTGCTTAAAAATTGTGGAGTTTTTTGGGGTAGACATTGGCGATTGTGGTTTTTTTCATCAAGGATGAACGACAACGACTTCAACAAATAAGCTGAATAAGCTATCCATTTACGGCGATTTTTACGTGTTGAATTTCTCTTTGTATTTTCCACCTTGTACGCTCATCTTTTTATTTTAAATCAAGCAGTTCTACCAGGGCTCCTCCTAGGCGTTAGCAGTATGTAAAAGTAAGTAAAGGACGAAAATTATTTTATGGATGTATAACTTTACTTTTTTAGAATCTTCAACAATGTCTTTTTCACCAAAACATGACGCGTTCGTCTTAAAGGAACATTGTCGAAGTGCAAGTCTACAGGATGGAACATGGACGTATTCAATTCAGTCCTGTCGCCAGCAATTCTATCAAGAATTTTCTGATATGCAACGTTTTTCTACAAGGTATTTTCCATTTACAAATACTCCATGATGCCGAACAACAGTTTTACGATGATCGATTAATTAGCAGAGGATTGTGGTCACCACGTTCTCCAGATCTAAGCCCGCTAGATTTTCTTTCTGATTGTGAAATACAATATTTTTTTAAATCGTCTGCACATCACTGAGGAGCTTCAAAATGCAATCGAAGAGGAACTAATGAACATTACACTAGTAATGTTAGAATGAATTTTCGATGATATGAAAATATGTGTGTAACTGTGCATTCTTTATAATGGTGGGACATTTTTAACAATTTTGTGAAGTGATTGATGTGAATGAAATAATTTTTTATACATTAAATTTCTGGTAAAAAATTATTTGAATTATTTTGAATTTGAATTTTTTTACATTGTGCACTTTAGTATCAAAGTGCAAAAATGTTTATTAAAGTACACGATCTGTGACAATACTAAATTACGTTTATGTCATACTTGTACTTTGACGGCCGGTATTATAAAGCCAGACTTAACTTTGTTGTCAGCTAACGGTGTTGTTAAGGCATTCCTTAAGAACACTGTTAGGTTACAACATAGTAAATATGACTTTAATAATACCAACCGTCAATGTATAAGGATTATATAAACGTAATTTAGTATTGGTTAATAAACATTTTTGTACCACGTTTATACAACATAAGAGAGTTACATCGCATTGGCTTTTGTTTCAAACGTTCAATTAACGTTAAATGCTGATGTTATGAAGTGTTATATGATGTAACGTTTGCTAAACGTAGGTATTTAGACGTTACAGAGAAACGTTCTTGAAGGCGGACATTAGCAGTCGCGGTGACGTTAATGGTACTTATACGCTAACGTTACAAGTCACCATTAAACGTTTATTAAACGCTAATGTTGCACAATTTTGTCATGTGGGTAGACATCCCTAGATGTCTAAAAAAGCCGTGTCCGTGTCTCCAACTAATCACCCCATATGAATCAAAGGAACTTCTCGCATTCCCAGCGTTTCAATAAATTGAAGCGATAAGATGCTTGGAATTACATTGCTCCAGAGTTAATACTGAAATAAATTACGTGGATCGTGACGATGTTTTTGACTGCACGAGGTTCGGCTCGATAAAAAATTGTGTACATGTTCAAGAATATGCTCGGCTTGTGGCTCAGTGTTGTTGTACCTCGGGTCGATAATGAGGACCACCCGGCTGGTGCAGAACCATCAGAAACATATCATTGAGAGAAGAAAAATGCGGTGTTCAAAATTGCTAACCAGTTTAAGCATGAGAATGGCCAGAAAGAGAACGATCGCGTTGGATCTTTTTCACCAATAAATAAGTTTATCGCGTAGCTCCATCATATAGGGCAGGGCATATAGCAAGAAATCAGCAAAATACGAAGGAATTTGATTATGACATTACTAAAGCAAGGTATTCGCCACATATATCGCATTGTGTTACCGAGAAAAAAGTCAACTTTCTGTAACTAGTTACGACCCAACAGTGAAAAGATCGTTTTCAAAAATATGGCCGTTTTTATAAAGTCAATAATAAACGTTGTCTCAAACGCAAACGCTTCCGTAGTTATCTCAAATGTTGATAATACTCGTACTATGGATAAAGAATTGAGCGACTTACAAATAAATTGCGCAAGATACAATTTCGTGGCCAATATTTGTTTCACGTTTAGTGTCGTCACTTCATTTACATGTGGTTCTTGTCCATTAATTTGGATAGGTAAAACAGTTCAAATCTCATTAAATCAAAAATTAAATTATAAAGTATTGAGCTGTATTCAAAGTTATTAATCACGCTTTATTCAATGGTAATACCCTAGTGTATGTAAGGTTCATATGATTTAACGTGGTGTCATATTGTGTAACGCGTCCCCTAAAAGGTGTCATCTAGCAAATATGCAGTGAATCCTGTGAATCCCAATTTTATGGCAGTATGAAAAACTTCATATAGATCAAAGAAGTAGGTAAAAAAACTACCCACACAATGTTTGCGTTCGTTTAAATCATCTCATTCTACTGGAATCCCCCACATCTTCTTTATATAAAAACAAGAACACCGCGCCAATCTCACCATTAGAAAATATTGTGTGGTGTCAATCTTATCGTGGTAATTTAAATTTAAATAGCACTCGCTATGACGAATCTCAATTTCATTCGAGTAGTCTTGTTGGGTGAGTTAACTGGAACTACTAAAGAACCGTAACCGTCTTTTCGTTCTCTTTTAGTATCAGTAAGTTCGGCAGTTAGTGCAGCTCACGTCGCTATTAATTGCATACCTTTGGTTAAATGTCCACAATTACTTCACCTAGTACAAACAGATCGAGATTCTACCGAAACTATTAAAATTCTTCGAAGTTCGCATTGTGGTTACAATGGTAGGGAACCCAAAGTGTGGTGCATCCAAGTGTACCCAGCTTGTAAAACACCAAACGGCAAATCCGGTAAGTGCTGTACTTATATTAAGTAATTAGAACGTAATTACTGGCACACGCGAGACATACCTATACGTGATTCATTTTTTATTAACGTAAGAAGAAGGTGAAGGTCTGCTTCCATACAAATATTGCAAGGTATTTGGAAAATGTAAATAAACGAATAAATTTTTGTTATTATATCTACCTAGGTAACCCGTTGCTAAAGTCGTTTCAATCTGAAATGTCGAGACCTTGCTGAATGCTGTTTAGCTCTAACAGATAGGTATTGTATATTCTCACGCAAGAGTGTGACTAAGTCATTAGCTTATTACGTATCAATTACCATAAAACAAAGTGTTACCACTTACGACAAATTGACAAAAGTCAATAACGATCAAGAATCTTTTCATCCTTGAAAAGTGCAGAGGACATATACTCCGATACATGGCTATGAAGTATAAGACAATTAATGCCTGTAACTATTTACATAATATTTAGATTTATCCTCGTGCTGATTGGTATCTAATAATAGCAAATAATAAATTTAATTTTGTAAATTGCTCTGTTCATATTAGCGTAATCAATACATCCGAACATATAGGCGTTTAAGGGTAAATTATAATACAATTTTAGAGTGCAATAAGATTTATTCGTGGGGTCTGATTATTTATAGGTAATATTTATCCTGAAGGGGTAAAATAAAGACTCGCCACATCCAAATTTATTCAGTTTAGTATTCGGAAGATTCCTATCTGCAGTCAAGTTTAAAGGAAAGCAAATATTACGTATTACTTGCCTATGTCAAAATTGTATTTTAATAACTGATTGGAATGTTTACAACGCCTAATAATTACATGATTATCCAACTCGTATGTGCATATGTTCAGAGTTCCATAAAAACTTCAAAACACTATAACGATAACCAATTACTCCATCGAATTCACTATACGCATATTCCACCAAAAAACAGTCCCGTTCAATGGCTCTGTATAAAAAAAAAACAATTAAATCCTAATAGGTTTTTAAAAAAGTGAACAACATACATGCAAAAAACGGTTCAGCAGGGATATTTTTTAAGAAAATTTATAGCATAATATTCATCATGCACTAAATCTCTTTTGCAATAATTGGATAGAATGGGGTGGAAAAAGTAGGTAAGTGACAAGATAAAATGAAAATCGGTGTGCATATTAGAACTTAGGCCCCATGGGATTAGCCTAATATTAAATTGTAATTTCGAAGCGTAAATATTACAGCAAATATCGTAGTCAAATTGTGTAAGAAATAAAGATCTCGCTTTTCAAACATTACCTAGTCGAGAAATCAGTATATACAAAATAATGACATACAATTTAAATCTATTTTTGTAATGAAATCTACATACAAGCGTAACGCAAGCATGATAAAATGGACGTAAATTTCCCATTCAAAGCGAATCAGACATACTTAAATCTAAACCACTAATGATGTAATTAAATAAATTACACACCACAAAATTACTATGCATATTAATCAACAAAAATTTATTTTAACACAAAGTAGGTACGTGACGCGTTACGTGGTTGGTTCTGACCCTGTGGTGTGGTATCGGTAAGACAATGAATTAGCTCGGTTTTTGAACAATATTTAGCAATGTCTCAGGATGCACTGAATCATATGTACCTAGAACGGAGATTGGGATACTAATAAATTATTCTCCTTGTTTTCGAAAAAGAATGCCCTCCCATTATCATAATAGTGGGTATTGGGTAATCGAGACTCGAGAATAGAAACAAGAGCAAGTGTATTATACAACAGCATTAGCCTCCGGAAGTTGCGAATGCAATACTAACGAACGACCCCTAAAAAACTCAGCACCTTTTTTTACGAGTGCCCATAAGCCCATTCTCGAAATACCGTTCTCAATATATTCGCGTTTGTTGTACTGACGATTCCCCAGCCCCACGAGTAGCCCTTTCCAACACTTAGATTCTCCAAACATCCCCATTGCTTGACATCACCGACAGATACGTCTTGTCCAGAACATTCAATGCCAGAACTTCCACTTCCCATTTCCTTCGACGACTACTTCTTCCGATATTCACATTTAAACAGCTGATAGTTTCGTCTAGATATGTGTAGCAAATTTGGTTTAAATCGGTTCGACCGTTTAGCCGGAATAGAGATTTTGACACACTTGCTCCAAAATCTCCCCATCTCTGCTTTTGGCGATTCAGAGCTAGCAACGTACCTTTTTTTTACTGCGCCAAAAGCCGTAAATTGAAAGCAATTATTGTATTTCTGGATATTAGTCAAAAAATGTATAGAATCTGGCCTTTTTCCGGAAACCAAGGAATGTGGCTCTGGTGGCGGTACCAATGGCATCAATTTCACTTGACCACTGGCGCAATATAATCCCGGGACTTCAGTTTTAAACTGAAAAGCCTTGCAATGTGCTGGACCTACAAAGTTCATTGATCTAATAGCAACTATTTACTGTAAACTATAATCGATTGCTACGTTATAATTAAATGCAGCTCGATAGGCATTAAAGGGGACATTTCTGCGTTCGTATCGATTTCGTTTTCGTTTCGCGCTTCGCTTTGCTCGTCAACTTACTCGTATATATGTTTGGCTTGTAGGATTACGAATTCTGCGACCTAAGTTGGTACCATGTTGGTACGTCTAATTAGTAGCATCTTGAAAAAACTAAAATTCAACTGAAAATAGAAATTGACATCCCTTATGGTGTTTCTGTATAACTATGTATACCACGTGTTTTGTCTATCAACACTTACCAAAAATGAATATTAGGTATGTAGTGTACGTAACCCCCAGGTTCTATGCAAACTTCACACTACAAGAACACGGGAATAAAGTCAACCCGGCAACGTTTAAAAATGGCCACCCGAATGACTATTCCCTCCAAAATTAAACAAGAGCCCACTCAAATTTGAAAAGTGGCACGTGATCAAACATCTAAAGCAAGACCCCCTTACGTTAGTTGTAAACAACGCTATGACCTGAAGCACATTAGAGAAAGAACGTAAAATAAAACACTCAAATTGTGAAAAGTTTGTTTAATAATGATCGTAATTATTATGATTGTGAAAGCCCGGAAATTTAGTTGATGTACATTAATATAAACAAAGCAAGCAAAGCCAAAAGTTGTCGTTATCTCCAAAAGTAACTGCTAAGGGTAAAAAGAGCACGACGTAAGAAAAACCTCGCAGTTTGATTAATACAGTCCAAAAGTTAATTAACAAAATATTTTGTAAAAGTTTATAATAAATAAATAAATAAAAAATTAATAAATAAGTTTTTGGGAACAATGGTCAGGTAGGAGCAGGTACCTAAATTCTGAGAAAGGGTTAAGAGTACAGGATGTGACTCATCTTTGGTGCAATAGTTCTTTTGGTAAAAACAATATGGAAATTTACATGGCCTTGTAGGCCGAGTTGTAGGCAAATTGAACCAAAAACAAGATACGTGGAATTACGAATCGTAACTCATTTATCGCACACAAATTCTAAACTGAAGAGTTTTGATTAGCGTAATCTCGCCCCCGCAAGATAGGTAGCGTCGCCCCTCGTTCGGGGTTTCGAGCCTACAGTAGAATGTCGAAGACAATCACGGAATTGGATGTCGTAGCTCAATTTGGACTACAGTTTTTTACCACTCCCGTTACTGCTTCATTCACGGAGAAAGTTGTTAGTTACAAACAACAAGTCAGTACATACATCAAACGAATCGGTAATTTCCACATATTAAAATAAAATGATTAAGACTTATATGAATGTTACTTCACGGACAAGACCAAGTAATCAACATCAATAAACATAAATTAAGCAAGCATTACACCAAAAATGTAAGCAATGCAAACAATAGCATAACGGTATTTAACATGTCATTCTGCATTGCGGTTAAATCAATTAAATCTCAAAATCAAAGATTGAAACACACAAAAAATACAAAATGCGGCATACAAAACACAAATACGATATAAAGAAATGCAAAAATTACTACCTGCATTAAATAACACAAAATACCAACAAACATTTATGGAGCGACGCGTTCACGACCGCCATTCAAGACAAGATGCCAAACGTAACCCTTGTTCGTGCCACAGCCGTCTATAATTACAAGCCGTGCTGAGAATTATGGCAACACTGCATGGTAGGCCGATTTCCTAATTCATTTGGTTGTATTTTATATGTGTTTTGGGTGTAATATTCCAATTTACCTGTTTTAACAGAGCGAGATTGCGACAATTTGTGTTACTCCGTACGGAATGAACAGAAGTTATTATTCAGCGATTTACTGTCCTTTTGCCGAAATGAAGTGCTCAAGCGTGTGCTTCACCTCGACCTGTTTCGACAGAAGTTCACCAATTTCGGAGATCTCGATGGAAAACACATTATGATGCAGTTACCAATTTACAGCGTTCCGAATTTTAAAGTCAAATAAAAATGTTATTATCCATTTTTGTAAATAAATAATATATATGCACAATTGTAAGCTGCCTAAGTATCTTTCTTCTATATTAAAACTGCCAAGGCAAAACACAGGAGAGAGGAAAATGCCATTTTTCAAGACCAACAAGACGCCATTAAAACTAAATCGGCCCACCGATTGACTTTCGAACAACGTTGCCAAACTTCTCAGCATGGCTTGTAATTATAGACGGCTGTGTTCGTGCTTTCTAGGTGGCGCAGGCAGCTTTTCTCCACCTAGAAATTGCATGGTTGCCAACTCTCAAAAATGTATGTATCGTCGTAAGTTGTATATACAGGGTGGAACCTCTCAGGTATTAAAACTTTTAATATAGAAGGCGTGATTGCGGTAAAATATCCTCGAAACTTCTCAAAAAACTCACTGAAATCTGGATAAACTATCCCATCGAATTGACAGCACACTATGAAATGAATAAATTAATTTTTTTTACGGATATATGCCGATCCATGTAGCTGTGAACATAATTGCCGTCGCACCGTCAAACGCGCGATGATAATCGTTTTCTCCAATTTTCCAATTTTTTGCGCAATTTTCTTAGTTTTTTTTGCCGTAAGAACCTTCTACAATGTATTAGAAAACTTAAAAAAAAAGATGAATGAAATCGGTAAACTTGTTCTAAAGTTATTGCGTGACCAGAAGAAACAGGGGTTCATTTTTATATATAGAGATTACGTTTGACGTTTGGATGGTTTCAATCACATTAACAAATTCGAACCACGCATACTCGATCAAACATAATGAATTGTTTTGTAAACGAATATTTACTTTGACGAAGAAAACTATTTGCAAGGCATTAAATAAAGAATATTCTCGAGGGCGACGTGTTAAAGTTATGCCCTTAATACATAAATAACTATTATATACTCATATGGTTTTAACAGAGAATTTTTTGCATTTTTTTACGTCGTGACCACGTACATCGGATGCATTTTTACTAAAGAATACGTTGCATGTATTTTTAAAAACAGTACATCGGTGGATCGTTGTTACCGCTGATTTATTCCTGGCGTTTCCATGCGATTCTCTTCGCACTCGCACAGCCTCAGCGCGACCGACGAATTCCATCACTGAAAAAAATTTGATTTGGTCTTGAGCAGCTTGACCCGACTTTGTTTTTTTAGACAAATAGCTACGGTACTATATGCGTATGTTGTTCCACTTTGCCAAGAGTTCCTCACTAGTAAAACGTGAATCAAAGTCCAATTCCGACATTTTTTTCCAGGCACTTTGACGTTGAATTTGGTTGCAGTATTTTTCATTGCTTGCACCCCATAACATTGGATGAAACTCGACGCAACCGATTAATTTAAAAATGTCATCGTCTGACCATTCGGCAGTCACTTTTGGTTCCACTTGACGTTTTTTCACTGGTATACTGGCATTTCCAATCGTTTCAGTCACCGCAATTTGAGTCACATCGTCAGAATACCACTCGTAATCAAAATCATTAATTTCCATTGAATTTCGTATCGCCTTTGAAAAATCTCGTTTTCTACAATGGGACATACGCTCGGTTTCGACGGCTGCGCCGCCTCACCTCACACACTCGACGGACTTCATACCGATTTTTTTATATAGAAACCTTCCCGGGCATACGTCCAACTATTCCAATTTTTCTTTTTTGGATATCGTTTCATTCCCAAGCAAATTAAGTGATATGGTTTCAGACAACCTGCGTATACAAAAAGGGTTGTTATTTAGTTGTGCATGACAATGTTCGCTAAACACAGGATCCTTTTTCTTCAAATCTAAAATTTCTAAAAGTCCCTTCTGTGCAATATTCTTTAATTAAATTTATATTTCTGTTCAAGGAGGTATGTGGCAAGTTCAAATTCAGATCATTTGTCTCGACTAGTTTATTTTTGTTTAATACTTCATCAAAGCAATCCAACACCAACACCGACGAATGACAACTTTGGCTACAACGATCCTGGGTTCGAATCCCAGGTAACGCATGGCTGTTTGTGATTGTATAGTGGGTTGAGTGGGAAGAGTAGCAAATTGCTAACACTCCGCCCACTAAAAATAAAGGCAATAAAATAAAAAAAAATAAGTCAGCGTTTTCAACAGCAATCCGATGTACTGTTTTTAAAAATACATCCGACGTATTCTTAGTAAAAATACATCCGATGTACGTGTAGTCACAGTGTTTTTTTTTATCGCAGCAAATTTGATCTAATGTAGAAAATTGTTATCGCAACTTAACTTTTGCCCTCGTTACTTTGAGATATTCGGAGTGGAGGACACTCCAGGTTAGATCACCCAACCAGCTGATTTTTTGTATGCAGCTTAGTAAATGTTTGTATAATCAAATTGTCATAGTCTCTTTATACCTCTATCGAGAATGTTCACAGAGGAAAACTTGGCCGTCTCGTCGAACCCAACCTACTCACAAACATTCAGCGTGTTACATTTGGGGAGTGCCTTCGTATTGTTCCCGTATTCCGCGCTTCCATTTTCCAAAACGTCAAGATATGTAGGCCGCTATTTAGTCCCGTCCACATCGCAATCCGCTCTCCTAAAACTTGCATAAAATTTAGGTCAATGTCCCGTGAAATTATGCAAAGGTCAGTCCCAGTTTGTTGTAGTGTTTTTGGTGACATATTTCTTTATTTCATTATGTATTTCTTATAGCTGGTTTGATCTTCTCGTCGTTTCTCTTGATGCTTTATGATAAACCTACCTATCCTTACATGGATAACATATTTATTATGCGATAACAAATAGAATAGGCGATATGCGACTTAATTATTCACAATTTATGAAAGAATTACTTGACTTGTTTATATTTATTTTAATGATTTAATATTAATATTAAAAATGTAGATACGCATGTAAATATGTTAATTCGCTGGTTAATTCAAACAAATATGGTCATTGCACACGTGAGGTTAAATCATGTATAATGCACAATAATTAATAAAATATCTACATATTTAATCATTTGATTTATTTAAAGTTCATGACTTGATAAATTAACCATATAAATTTTCATGTATTTTCAATTTTCGAGGTTGCCTACTGAATTTTTTGAATTTTTCAAAATTTTTAGATTTTTCTAATCTTTGAATTTTTTATGAATTTTTTAAAGGTCTTTTTCATTTTGTTTCTTTGAATTTGTTTTTCTTATTATTTTCATGCTGTTTCCAGTTGTTACAACTTTTAAACATATTGTGACTTGTCAAATTTTTGTGAATGAAACGAAACGAAGCAATTTTCTTAATTTAATTCAAAATACTATACACTAATCGATAGAAGATATTCCTGTTGGCACGCTTCGTATCGATTGGGAATTGTTACAAACAAATTCATTGGTTTCAAAAAATGATATATTATCCTATTTCTCCTTGGACTCTGGTGGTTCTTAACTTTTGCAGCTCTTTGATAGTATAATATATGATATTTGACACTGCTTGTAAATTGCGCTAATTGGAATGAATCATTTCTAATTCATTTGCAGGACGTTGTATGGATGCTTCAAAATGCGAGGTGCTGCAAGATTTAATTGCGAGCGAAGACGATTTGTCCAATGTAGTGAAGTACATGAAAAACGCCAAGTGTAAGGCGGCTAGTTTTGACAGTGGCAGCGAGCCAGTATGTTGCCCCCCCGATAGTGACATACGAATTAATGAAAAGCCCAAAGTTCTCCCCGACCCTGAGCGAGAGGAATGCGGTCATCAACTCAATTCGAAAGTCATTGGGGGCAAAAGTACAGACTTAGATGAATTTCCTTGGGCCGCACTGATTCAGTATCAATGGAAATCCGTGTACAGCACTAATTGTGGCGGTACTTTAATTAGTAGAAGATACGTTGTAACTGCTGCCCATTGTGTGGATAGGGCGGCTATTAGAACCGTAGGCAACATGTAAGTATGCATACTCAAATGCCGTTCGGGTTGAAATTTTTGACTATTTCAGTGCAAATGTTATTCTTGGAGAATATGACACAAGAAACGAAACAGACTGTGTACATTTCCACGGCAGGCAGTGGTGCGCTGATCCACGTTTAGTCGTTCCTGTACAAGAAATTATTATTCACCCTCATTGGAACCAAAAACCTCCTGCTACGGTCGACGGCGACATTGCACTTGTGCGACTAGCTTATGACGTTCGATTTACTGACTACATCCAACCAATTTGCTTACCAGCAGCATCGACTTTGTTTCAAGATGGGACACAATTATTTGTTACTGGATGGGGCCAAACTGAAACAGGTAAGGTTGATATACAAAATTAGACAATGGGACGATTTAAACGCGACTGCTTGTAGATGACGCTAGTTTCGTTAAACTGAAAACATTACTACCTGTGGCAAATAAAGCGGAGTGTGTTCGTAAATATAAACAAGATAAGAGACTATCAGTAGGTGACGGAATGATATGTGTGGGCGGTGAAGCAGGAAGAGACAGTTGTTCAGGAGATTCCGGCGGTCCCTTGATGTATCCATCTATAAAATTGGGAGTGCCTACGTGGTATTTGACAGGGGTTGTTTCATTTGGTCCTAATCAACCATGTGGGATTAAGGGCTACCCCGGTCTGTACACTCACGTATCAAAATATGTCGAGTGGATACAAGAAACTGTTCAAACGTGACCGCAAATGTACATTCTGAAACCAACATCACAAAAGTGAAGGTAAACCTTTACAAAAACATGGAGAGAGAATTGGAGAGTGATATAATTTATTAACTAAAATGTTATTTTGTTTATTAATTGGTGTTACTTATTGGGCAATTAAATTGACATCTAATTATTGAAGCTAGGAGTGCGATGTTTTATGCACTGTGCGTATCACCTCAGTTTTCATTAGTCCACCTGCTGACGGTGCAATATTTGAATACATTATCTCCTTAGTTTTGATTCCTTCTATAAAGTCCGCGATCGCCGGCCCATCCCTGTTATCCAAAGCACTCGCTCTTTGCGCTGTTCGCGGCTTGGCGAACATTTGGTACTTTTGTTCATCATTTGATCTCAAAACTCCGTTTCTTTTCAAAGAAAAATATATCTGCTCTGTTAAACAAGTACTTCGTACTAGGAAGTCTCTCTGAGCTAGTCGCTGCAATCTTTCCCTTTCTTCTGCTTCCTGAATTATTTGGGGTTGGAAGGAACTTCGGATTGAGAATGGTATTGGACGAATGCTTTGTTTGCTGGGCGATAACCTCGGGCTATCTGATCGTGATTTTGGAACCGATTTTACTGGTGATACACGTTTGGATGCTTCCAGTTTTGCCTTGAGTACTATTTCATCACGTAACGCCGTTTGTGCAGATTCGCGTGCTCTGCTACACACGGTGTCGCTGTACAGCGATCCCTGACCTTGATTAAAGAGCTTTCCGTACTGACACTCTGAATGGGCTGTTGGATAAACCAAACGAAAATCTCCTTTATATTCCATCTCGTGTTTATAATGCTGTGTGAAACTCCTTTGGTCACTAGAATTGTCCTTAACTACACCGTGCAGCAATCGTTCCCGAATCTTCTTTTTATCTTCTCTGATCACTCTCCTCTTGTCACATTGTCCTAAATTAAGCATATTAAACATATCCTTTAGCAGCGTTTCCTTAACCTCACAGTCTAAATCGGTATCTGTGTGGAAACTTGGGGAGTGATTAACTTCCAATACTTGGGGATTGAGGTGATTGTCCAATATGACATCGATTCCTAACAACTCACAGCAGGCCGGTATAATGTCGTGGTTTGGGAAACAGGCAATGTAACTATGTTTAAGTACGGGCCACGCACAAATTATTGTTTTAATAATGACATCGTCAATTTTATGCCACAACTTATCGACATCTTGCGCCATTTCCTGCAGATACCCTCTCAGCCAAGATAATTTCCTCTTACTTCCAACCTGGGTGTCAAAATTGAACGTCCGGCTATGCTTATTAACTGCATAGTTGGTGAGATGCATAAATACATTTGTCATGTTAACATTACTCGGTTCTTTATATCTGCTCGTCGCAAATCTACACAACCCTTCTTTATATACATATATTCTTAGAGGATCGCATGAGGTAATCAAAGTATATACCCTTAAGTCAAATTTAAATCCATCTATAAGAAAAGGACGCGAGATATATACTTGGCAGACCATTTTGTCCGTTGGCTTTATGTCTTTTAAAGTTTTGGTAAGATATATTCCTCTCCCTTGACAACCGGCGTCGGGTTTCAAAATGTACGTTTTGTTCTTCTTCAATCTACTGTACGCTAGGGCCTCTCCCAAATCGGCCGGTAAGCACCACGATTGTGGAAAAAAATTATACTCCTTTGGGAAAAGGCGTTGCATTCTATTTAAATTTCGAGCCAACAGATCTTTCCTGCATATTTCTAACATTCCAGGAAAGTGATTGATGCGCTGGTAACGTTTCATTTCTTTGCACCGTTCAATTGATATGGACAGATCGGTCCAATTGAAATTCCAATTGTCGTTATCCGCCACCTCCTGAAATGCGAATTTTGCAGCAATCCTCCTGACCACATCGTATCTGCAGTTTGTTAAACACACAGACACTTTCCGTTTTTTTCGCTTCTTTACCGTAGGAGTCAGTTGAGCGATTTCCTTTTTAAAATTTTTGTTAAGTGCATCATTCTGATTGATATCTGGAAATCGTAATTTAGAAGACTTGTCCGAATACGCTGAACTATCTGATCCGTCAGTACCATCTTGAAACGGTAAACTTGATCTTGAATTATCGCCGTGCATAACTTGTTTAACGAAATTAGGGATACTTACATTAGATGTCTTTTTATATATAAAAAAGAGAATTTCTCATTTTGATTAAGGGAATAATGATGGAATTGAGTATGATGTGACAGAACGACGTAAGTGATTTATTGTCATTATGACATTGCACGTAGCTACTATTTGTACACCTGATGTAACTACTAACATAAAATAATGTCATTTTAAAAGAATAAATTATTTTGTTGTTGCATACTTTTAAACCTCAATTGTCGTCCATATAACCTTGACCTGTTAAGAATCCATAATGAGACAAAAATGAATACGGTACCGACGTACCCACAAAAGTCTCAAGTTCAACTACAAAACCAAATACTTGAACGAACATTTCACTGATTAATGGAAATGGATAGTTATCCATGTATCATCTAAAATTAATGTGCCAAATAGAAAGGAACACCTGGCGGAATCTATGTCGTGTAGGTGTGGTACTGTAATGCGTAAAACATGGTCAAGCAAGAATAGACAGGATAAATACTAACAAGCGTCATCACTGATAAAAGAAAACAAGGGCGTAGAATAAAAGAAATTGGTAAAAAGGTCGAATATGCAAACCCTTCTTCGCCGAGGAACCATTTGAGTGTTACAAATAGTATCTTCTTCATTCATTCCAATCTGCGACTATTAATATTAGATTCATCAGTACTACAACACAACCTATGCTATATGTACCTACCAATCTACAAGAAAAAGGCCTAGTTGGACATGTTCTTTTACTTTTTTAAAGGAACTTTTCAAAATTCTTCTAATTTAATAAAATTGGAAATATTGATGATATACAATTGAACTAAAGTGCGTGGTTTATATCCCTCCTGATGATACAGCAAGTACCTAACTGTGATTTAAGACGCTCTTTAATTCTATGGTGCGTTGTAATACGGGCCCTTAACATAAAATACGTTCCCATCCGGAAGAAAAGATGAAACTTTCATGCATGCAGCTTTCATACACCGGGTGGTGCACGGTAAGTAGGAACATAGGGATTCAACATGGGAAATTAGTTTTATGCAATATCCTGCCCTCCTGTACATTTTACAGAAAAAACTGTAGAGTTTAAAGTTGTTCAGAATTAAAAGGTGCATACAAAAATGTTTTATTAAGCTTTTGGTATACCCGCAAATTTAAAAATAAATTTCATTTCTGTTATTAGTAGCAATAGCCATGCTTTTGTTGTTTTATGAATTGCTACTAAACACCGAAATGTTGAAATTTATTTTTAAATTAATTTACCACAGTTCCTGGTGACTACGGCAAACAAATTTATTTTTCTGTGTGGTATTATGCAAGTAATGAGCGAGAACACAAATAAGTTGAAGAAGAGGTAAGGGTTCCACATACTAAAAATGAATATTGTTGATTGTACTAATTAATAAATAACTTCATTTCTGTAGCTTGTAGTCTGTTTTTTTTGTGATTCGTTCAGCGCCCAACTCTCTCTCTCTCTCTCTCTCTCTCTCTCTACCGTAGGTCAATATTGGTCTGTAACGTTATTGGCTTATTGGTGTAAGTAGATTTCATATTAACTACCTATTTCTAATTAACTGTTACAGTACCTACCGAGATTTTATGTGACTTTTGAGACAACTTTCAGAATGACAAAATAAAGGTTTACACAAGTTTATAGCTTATTATCTTTCATTCCGAGGTGAGACACTAATATGACTGGACTATTTATTAAATGCCAATAACAATATTATGTAAGGGAGGACCAATCTGAAATGTAAGATCATAAGGAACAATAAATAAAGTAAAAAATGTAGTTTAATCTAATAAGAAAACAACAAGAACTGTTCTAAGGACCATTATATTTATATAATAAACCAAAGAGTATCCGATACTCTTTGTAATAAACAATCAAACTTTACCTAGCTCCATGTAAGGATCTGGTAAATACCTATGACGACACTGTTCCACTCTGATAAACAAGGAAAACAAAGGGCCGCTAAGTATAACTGGTTTCCCCGTTTAAAATAGTCATTAGCCAGGTTGCGGACAGCATTTTCCGTTATGTTAGACGGCCATTTTTTCTTATAACATAAGAAATATAAATTTTTGTAGAAATAATTTACGGTATGAGGGCTTTTTGTACGATATATTTATAAATAGCGGAACCAATGAAAATGAAGTTCTTATAATGTGTCACTGCGCAGTACGTAATCACTCATAAATAACATTTTCCTGCTAACCTACAATTGTGCAGTGTTTATGTTGGCGGTAGTTCTTTTCTTTTTGTCTAAGAGCATAGTAGTGAACTTTGGACATTTTAACACAATGTAAAATAAAAGTGAGGTTAAGACTCCTTCAAACTTATAAGCAAAATTGAACACGCCCAGCACACACCGCAACTTAACTTTGCTATAAAAATGTTTTATACTTATAAACTTATATTATAAGGAAAAATGCCCGTCTAACATAACGGAAAATGCTGTCCGCAACCTGGCTATTATTTACCGCCCGAAGCCAAATATCCTTCAATATTTGTGGTAATTAACCACTTTGCAGTATATGCAACACACCTTACACCAATTTCAGGTTTTCCTATATAGTTATACCATTGAATTTATAGTTATAAATTCAATGGTTATACTTCTTTAAGGTGCTTATTCAATGACGATACTATCTCGGAAGTCGCTCACATCTTTAGAAAAACAGATTCTAGATCGGGATCAAGTGTTCTATGACCGGCAATCTTTCCTGGCGAGAGGTTTACCTACTACACCTACTTACAGTCAATAGGTAATCAGGTAAGGTAAATTACGAGGTAAATTAACTTCAATTATAACGTTTGCAGGTTATGTTTATTATTTACCCCTTAAACTTTAGACAGTTCTACGCAAATTCAAATTCTAGCGCGCTTGCGGTTTCGCAGTACCGAGGGAGTCACCGTGCAACACATCTGCAAGTTCAGGGTCAATGGGCTATAATAATATTCATATCAACTCGAACTAACGTACAGGGTGTCCCAGAGGAATGGGCAATATTTTGGGAAATTAAAGTAGAGGTTATTTGAAGACAAAAACGATAATAAATTGTGTTTTTATTCTCAACCGTTGGCATTTTTACATTTCCTAGACCGTGAAGGCTACTGCGGTTGCGCTGACGGGCTAGGAAATGTACCTACTGAGTGCTAAACACTCCGTTTCCTAGACAGTGGGCGCAACGTCACGTGCGTGATTATTGCGCGCGTTTTATCCGCTATGGTGCCAGTGAGACGTCCAAGTATAAATTAGCGGTGTTATTTCGCGTGTTTGTAATTGTGTAATTTTAAAAGAACGAGAAGGGTCCAACCAAAGAATAGTCCAACGTATGTACTTCTATTGCACGCCGGGCAAATAATGTACACATGTTGGCGCTAGGGCAATACAGGCAGGTAGGCCTTCAAAGTTGGAAGTTTTGAGAAACAAAAAGAAGAGATAAAAATAAGTCATCAACAAATGATATCGGTCATGGAAGTAAACATTAAAATGGACTACCTGTATGCATATTGCTGCATCAGTTCTAAATATGGAGCCACCTCAAACTTTTCCATGGGCTCCGTTAACTTAGCACCACCATTTCAAATTTTTGACTAAAGACAGATTGCGCTAGAATCTCTATGGCTAGCGCCAGCTAGCGCCACTTTGAGTTCAGCTAGCGCCATTATAGATTTTGCAGAAAAGCCCTTGACTTTCGGGGGGTGCTATGTTAACGCTAGCACCACCATTGCGTCCGATCACTTCCAAAAGCAAGCGCTGTGTTCGTCAGACCTAGCGCCAGCTAGCGCCACAAATTTTAGAGCTAGCGCCACCCCCCAATAGTGAGGGGAGCAATTTTTCCTAGCACCACCATTTTGTCTTTTCATGTAAAATTTTGACGTTTTGTGTTCTGCTGACCTAGCGCCAGCTAGCGCCACTTTGAGTTCAGCTAGCGCCATTATAGATTTTGCAAAAAAGCCCTTGACTTTCGGGGGGTGCTATGTTAACGCTAGCACCACCATTGCGTTCGATCACTTCCAAAAGCAAGCGCTGTGTTTGTCAGACCTAGCGCCAGCTAGCGCCACAAATTTTAGAGCTAGCGCCACCCCCCAATAGTGCGGGGGGCATTTTTTCCTAGCACCACCATTTTGTTTTTTCGGGTAAAATTTTGACGTTTTGTGTTCTGCTGACCTAGCGCCAGCTAGCGCCACAAATTTTAGAGCTACCATCACCCTCCAATAGTGTGGGGGGAGGGGGCACCACCATTTTGTCTTTTCGGGTAAAAATTTGATGTTTTCTGTTCTTGTAGACCTAGCGCTCAAGTTAACCTAGCGCAATTATAAATCCTAGCGAGTTTATAATTTTGCGGTATCTGTCCGTCTGTCCGTTAGCACGATATCTTGATAACGATAACGAATTGACCGTTTACGATGAAATTCTGTAGATGGATTCTTTATCAAATTTGTAGATCGGAGGTCGTGAATTGGCAGTGTAGACCAAAAAATAAAGTAGGCATTTTTGACATCTCTGTGAATTATGAACCGAATTGTATGAAATTCAATATGTGTATTGCTTTAGCCATATAAAACGCAATTCCAAAAGTTGAGCCTAATCGATCAACATTCACAGTGCTCTTTTGGCATCTCGACCATTTACAAACCGGATTGAAAACTTTCTTATTTATGGAAGCATTTAAAAGAAATTTGATACATAGCCACTTGGAATAAAAGCAAATTTAACGTCAGTTTCAAAATTTGGTTTTGTGCATGATGTGTGGTGCCAATTTTCTTATTTATGGAAGCAATTAAATCAAATTTCATACATATACACTTTAAATAAAAGCAAAACTAACACCAAATTCAAAATTTGGTTTTGCACATGCTGTAGCCATACCCAGGAGCTCGTTTTCTATATTTATTTACACGTCGATGCGAAAAGGGCACTGTGAATGTTGATAGATCAGGTTCAATTTTTGGAATTGCGTGTTATATAGCTTAAGCTATACGAATATTGAATTTTATGCAATTCGGTTCAAAACTCACGCATATGTCAAAAGGGCCTTACTTATTTTTTGGGATACATTACCAATTCATGAACTTCGATCTACAAATTTGATAAAGAATCCAACTACAACATTTCATCGTAATCGGTCCA